GATTTTCGAGGGTTCTGTAACTTTGCCCAAAGTGATCTTTAAGGTCTAATTTTTTGGGAGCATATGACCCACTAACAGGACACTCTGAAAAAAAAATTTGAGCCAAATCCCAGACTTTCGATTTTTTTCAACAGGGGGGACCCCATGAAAAAGTGCCAAAAATCAGCATATTTTGGCTCAAAGACCCCCGGGGGTCTTAGAGTTCAGGCAAGACACTATTACAATTCGATGACCAGTATTATGAGACAACTTTTAACGCAATTTAATGTTCCGGCGTAGGTACTAAAAAATTTCGAAAAACGGGAAAAATTGAAAAAAAAATTTTAAATGACATTTTTTGGTGTGATGCAGTGGAGTAGGAATTTTGATGTCAACACGAAAAAGGTTCAAAAACATACGGGGAATTCATTTCTGAAAAGTTTTTGACTCTATCTAAAAAACTAAAAATTTTGACTTTTCAACTTTGACGGGTTACTGTAGATCTGAAAGGGGGCGGGGCCAAAACTAAAGTTGTGTTTTTTCATAAGAGGGGTGAGGGTAACCACCACACATAATATCTAAGCTCTGCCATTCGTTTCATGCATGTGTGCCACTGCCTACAGGGCTAATGTCACCTGATACAGAAAATGTCTCTTAATTGGCAATCCTTTTTTTGTCTGGCTTTCCAAAGGATCTTGGGGAAGAGATGTTCTTGGAGAGATGACAAGTCACGAAATGAGTTGTCGGGGAGTGGAAAAGTCAGGGGACGGGAATGGTTACTGTAGGGAACTGTCAAGAAAAATCTGGAATCCTTCGAAATCCAGGAGCTCCAGAATCCGTTTAGGAAACATTTGAGTTTCAGAAATCTCAAAAAAAATTCAAAAACTCATTAATGAAGTACACCAATCTACTCTTCCAAAGTACTCTACCCCGTCGTCCCCAGCCGTTTTTTCTCTGAATGTTTCCAATAGAACACGGAACTTCTTCTTGAATTTATGACTAACCCATCTGCCCTTATGCTCCCAGAGAGTCCACTTCCAAACACAGCTGTAATTTGTGCCTCCTTCCTCCATTTGACTTCTATAAAAGTTCATTTTTCTTCGAAATCGTTGAGACACCTGGCCCCTTAACTCTTCTTGGGGGCAGCTGGAGGGTACCAAATGAGCAGATGGCTTTTGGGACGTAATGGATATTACGAGAAGGATACAGGTGGCACTGTTGAAAATTGGGGACGGGATTGAAATATGGAGGCAAAGAAGAATAGAAGAAGCTTCAACGGAAGAAAAATACGGATTTAGAAAAAGTTAAAAAGAAATTGACATCGGCGGGGAATCGAACCCGCGACTGAAATTTCAAATACAAGCGCGTTAGCCACTAGGCCACATCATGCAAACCAGCAAAAGGAGGGGAGGGCATATACCTGGTTGCGTGTTTTTTCTCTTATCAAAAAAAAAAGGGGGGAGGTTCATGTTCATGTTCTCATGGCACAATTTCGGTACAAGGGCGATCTAATGAGTCAATTATCACAATCTACAGCTGACCTTATGTAACATATACTCTCGTGGATTATTCGCTAATTATTACGTAAAGTTACAGGTGTCATTCACGATATGAGCTATATCAGAAAAAACGTTCTATTGAACCTTTTTTCTATCAACGCTATCATTTGAAATTGCATGAATACTAGAACTTGACAGTGTTTGCATACCTACTGCATAATTCAAAATTCCGCCAATTCTAGTCCGATAGGGCGTACTTTCTTATCACTCGGAATTCGAAAATAGCTTACACATAAATTTCTAGTTCCTTGAGCAAAAGGAGTAAGTCATAACTAGAAAACATGAAAACTCCAAAAAAAAAGAGAAAACATCTGGAATATCAACAACAACTCCGAAAATCAAATCAAATCTATTAACGTCAGGTTGATTGAGCACACTTTCTGCCAACCTTATATGCAGCCTAGCTTGCTCCTTGATTATTGCATTTACCGCTTATTGCATGTAGTCCCAGGTGCCTTTGAAGGGTCTCTAACAAAAGTCATATGGATAATAAAAAACAAAAAAACATTTTGACACAGACGGGGTTCGAACCCACACCTCGAATTTCAAAAACAAGAGCGCTAGCCACTCGGCCACGCCGTGCAACACAGACAATGAAGGAGAGGGCGTAGAGATCATTGCGCTCTTCCTATTCTTATCAGGGGGATGTGATCAGAGGGACAATTTCCGGGGTATTGAAGGAACTAGAATTTAGTATCACTTCCTTGAGCACAAAGTCATAACTAGAAAACATGAAAACTCCAAAAAAGAAAGAGAAAACATCTGGAATATATCAACAACAACTCCACAAAATCAGATCAAATCTATTAACGTCAGGTTGAATGAGCACACATTCTGACATGTTTACCCACAATTCTATTTCAGATTATTCATCATGTTTTGGAGCAGATGTTTCTCATGCAAATGTCATTTCACTTCACTTATTTCAAGAACAAATTTCGAGAGATCTCATAAATGACTCTTCTCGTATCATAAATGTCACCTTCACTCGTCAAGGGACTTCCAACACAGAAACGGAGTAGGAACGTGCCGTGGACCTGGAATCGAGGGATTTTTGGGTTCGAGGAGGGAAGGAATTACAATAGAAGGAACCAAATGAATACGACGATCCCGGTTGATGGCTCTCAGAAGGCGTTCGTTGTCAGAATTCGAGTGCTGGAAATTTAGGGAGATTGGATGAATTTACGACCGAGGAAAATGAAATTCTTGGCTGAAACCGAAAAAGAATCAAATTGGAGTTTAGATTAATCAAGCTGGATTTTCAGATTTTTTTTTGCTCTCAACAAGGCTCCGCATCATTTCGAAACCGCGATGTTTCAAAACGGTTGAAAATTAGGCTTGTACTTTTCAAGTACTTTTCAAGTTTCTTGTACAAGTTTCTCTGTGTTCTTTTCTTTCTTTTCCTTTCTTTCGGTTTCAATCGATTTTCTGGAAAATCAGAACAAAATGAAAATTCGTACGTTTTTGGAAAAAAAATTTTGAAAATTAGACTTGTAATTTCCAACTTTTCGACTGCATATTACTCGATTTTCTAGATAATTGAAACAAAATAGAAATTTGAAATTTTTTGGAAATTTTTTTTCGAAAAAAAAATTTTGAAAATTCGTTCTAATTTTCCAGAAGATCGATAAAATCGAGTCAAAGAAAATTCGAAAATTACAAGCCTGATTTTCAAAGGTTTCGAAATGTCTCGGTTTCGAGATGTCAGTTCCGAAATGTCGCAGAGCACAAACCCTTGAAAAATCAAGCTGGAATTCTAACTTTGAGGGATACCCACTAATAGAACAAAAATAAAAAAAAATCACTAGCGGATACTGTAGGCTTGGTATTAGGGATGGCTCTAGGCTCTAGGGACCAAACGAAACTCAAAACAATTTATTTACATTTAGGCGCAGCGTGAGGTTTCACCAATAAGAAGTAGATACCGTAGGATAGTATTTTTTTTGTTGCTCGTTATACATTTTTACACAATCCGGATAACCTATAAACTCATCAAAAGTACAGTAACCTCTCCAATCTTGGTGAGACCTTTTCAAAAACCTTTGCTACCGCCTTAACGGTAACTTGCTACCTAAATTGTGCAAAAACTTACATTCTTGAGCCGAAAAGTGGCGAGTCCCAAATGTGGCGGAGTGAAAATCTCAAATTTCCCATTCTCCACGATAATTTTGGCGAACAGGGTTGCCAGGCTGACAGTCTGTAAATACCTCTAATAGAATTGCAACTAAATTTTGAACTACGGTATTTAGTTCACTTCTGGTCTCACCACGAAAAAGAAGAAGGTACTGTAGAACCCGAACACAGTAACCCCTGAATCGTGGTGAGACCATCCCAAACTCACCTTTCTCTGATACTCTTTGATCTTCTCCACTCCCATATTTCTCAGTGTAAACCAAATTTTCAGCGACCGGAATCGACGACCCAACGGGATTTCCAGGTGCTGAAACAGAAAAAATTGAGGCTCTGCGACGACTTTTTGCAACTAGACGTTTCATAACTGGTTGCGAAACGTCTAGTTTCGAAATGTCCCCGGAGTAATTACCCGATAATCGGTACTCGTCGATTGATACTCATGAGCCAAATACACCGGATCCACATTATAATATCTCGACGCGTAGGTTCCATTTTTGAACCAAAGTGGAGAACAATCAAAGTTAATCATTCCCGCTTTGTGAAGATTAAAATTATAGGAATCCACGTGCTCCAGACCCTTCACCAGATATATGAACTCTTCACAGAACGCAAAAGATCCTGCATAGGCTGCATCCACATGGAGGTAGAGACCCTCTTTCAGGCATATCGGACCAAGTTCCGAGATTTGATCTACTCCACACGTGGCAGTGGTTCCGACGGTGGCGACGAGCATGAAGGGAATGTAGCCACGGGAACGGTCTTCCTGGAAAATTATGGACGTCAGGATGTCTGGATGTCTGGATGTCTGGATGTCTGGATGTCTGGATGTCTGGATGACTGAATGTCCATACATCCAAATATCCAGATGTCTAGTTATCCCAACGTTTGGATGCCCAGATGAATGGATATCCAAATATCAGGATGTCCGGATATCCGGATATCTGAATTCCCAGATGTCCGAATATCCGAACATCCGGATGTCCGGGTGTCTGAATATCGGAAAACTGAATGTCCAAAAGCTTGAGTATCCGGATATCCGGATGTCCAGATGTCCAAATATGTAAATGCCCAGAGATCCGAATATCCGGATAGCTGAATGTTCTGACGTCCGGATGTCCAGATATCCGAGTGTCCGGGTTCACGGGTGTCCATGTGTCCGGATGTCCGAATATCTGAATTTCCAGATGTCCAAATGTTGGAATATCCAAATGTAAAGATGTACAGATATCTTAATTTCCGAACATCCGGATGTCCAGACGTCCGAATATCATGATGCCCTAATATCCAAATATCCAGATGTCCGTATATCCGAATATCTGAATATCCGAATGTCCAGATATACGGATGTCTTAATGTCGAAACATCCGGATGTCCGAATGTCCGAATACCCAGATGGCTGAATATCCTAACGTCCGGATGTCCAGACATAGGAATATCAGGATATCCTAACGTCCGAGTATCCAGATAAATCAAAGCATCCCAATGTCGAGATAAATATCTGGATGTCCAGATGTCCGGATATCAGAACAACGTAATTCCCGGATGTCCAGATTATCCGGACATTGAAATATCCAAGTATCTGGATTTCCAGATATCTGAATTTCCAGATAACCGGATGTCCGACTGTCCAAAAGTACGGTTTCCGGGTTCCCGGATATCCGAAAGTCTGGATGTCCGGATTTATGAATACTCTAGTATCTGAACATCCGGATGACCTAATGTCCTAACCTCCAATTATACGAACATCCCGATTTCCGGATATTTGTATATCCGGATGTCCCTATTCCCTACCTCAATCGCCTTCTGAAGAGTCTCGGGATCCAATCCAAAGTTATCCAAATACTTCCTTGTTCCCTTCAATTTCCGAAATCTCACACCAGCCAACATTGCCCCTTTCTCCACTGACGAATGCCCTTGATCACAAAAATACATGACGAAATCTTTGAAAACTGTCGGATCATGATAATATGGAGTTATGATATCCGTGGATTCTGTGGAAGATTGGATGGGGACTGGCCAATAGAAAATTCTTCGGATGGCTAGGGAAGTGGTGTTTTTGAATTGTTGGAAAGTTGACGGATTCTTTTTCAGGTACTCCACTTTGGTGGCTCTTGCTGTGAGAATGGCGATTAGAGTTGAATCGGAGGCGGAGCTCTGGAAAAAGTGGAATATCTTAGTTAGAGGTAGAGATATCAGAAAGTTGTTATCTAGAGAAATGAAGCTCCAAACTCAGAGGACTACCGTAGAGGCGGTCTTGGAGGCTACCTCCTCTTGGCGCGGTGTATCTTGGTTACAGGTAGAGATAATTAAAAGATGTCAATTACAAAGTTGCTCATCATTGATTTTTACATTTTTTATTAGTTGACAACTTTAGTATCTCTTCGGGCTACCTAGATATAGGACTCCAATCTCAAAGGAAAAAAGAGCGACTTTGAAATCCTCCTTGCTTTTAGAGCAGCATAACTTGGTTAGAAAAAGAGATATCAAAAAATAGTCAACTACAAAAATATTTTCCATGCAATTTCGCACATTTCATCAGTTAAACTCTTTTTCCACTCTCAACTGCCAGCACAGTTATAGAGCTGCAAACTCAGAGGACCTCTATGAAGTCGCTCTTGGATCTTATTTGCCCTTGAAGCAGTTTATCTAGGTTAGCAATAAAGTTATCAAAAAACAGTCAACTACTGAACCATTTTTCATGTAATTTTGCAAATTTTATCAGTTAAACACTTTTTTCTATCTTAGCTACCAACGCAGATATGGAGCTCCAAACTCAAAGAGCCACTACAGAACCGCTCTTTCGGAGCAACTTACTTTTGGTACAGTATATCTTAACCAGGAATAGAGCTATCAAAAAATCGACAACTACAAAAATCCTTCCCACGATTTCTTATCTCTTCTGCCAACCTAGATAAAATCACCTGAATAATTCCACACCCTGGTCCTGGATGCGAATTCTTGAAATGCTCCGGCAACCCCATCAAAATCACCAACCAATCTAACACTGTCTTCTCCAACTCAGTAATCGGAGGACACGCAATCCACGTGAATCCAACTGATCCCATCCCACTACTAATAATATCAGCCAGGATGGAATGATATCCAATTCCAGCTGGGAAATAAGCAAAGAAATGTGGATGATTCCAGTGACTACTCCCATTGAATACCACTCTCTCCAGATCTTCATAGATTTTATCCCAACTCTCCGGCTGTTTTGGAGGGTGAGCGGGGACCTGGAATAGGAGATGGCCTAAGAATCCAAATGGAAAGCTAGTCCCCGGTTACCAAGTGATTGATATATCCGGGTTTGACGTCCGGAATCGGCCGTCTCGTCCGAATCGTTTCCCAATAATCTGCCACAACTTCAATCATTTTCTTTCCCTCGACACGAAGTTTTGATGGATCCATTTTTAGTTTTTTGGAAATATTTGAAATGAATTATTTTTCAT